CCCCCCCCAAAAAAAAAAAAAAATTACCTTTAATGTTTAAGAGAAGATATCAGAAATGAAGGAATCTTTTATATGATTATGGAAGAAATGGTAAAAAAACAGTGGCTAGAAATTGAAAGCCAGACAAATTCAAATGGGAAATCAAATTTTAAAAAATTGAACAATAAGTGTGATTTAAGGTGGGAAGATGTACTGTAGGGGAATTGTAGATTCTCTCTTTCAAGGTCTTCAAATCCAGACTGAAAGTCCATCTGGATACTATATGGAGAAAGCTGCTATGGATGTAATGCTCCTTTCTCTTCCTATAAGGGTCTGGGGACCCTTATATGCATGCATATAAGGATGCATACTGGGGACAGGAGGCATGGTGGGGATTTGTGCACCAGTATGTGTTTACCAGGCCCACAGCGGCATATTCTCTATAGTATTTCTGAAGCCCAATGTCTGTCATGTTTCCTTATGGTTGTGTTTGGAACACTTTCAGGTTCATTTCCCAGCAATGGGAATTTCCTGCAGAGTGTCTGGAGATAAGGCCTTGGTTTTACTAGGCCTGTCATCCCGGGGGGTGGTTTTCTTTTTAATTGCTCTCTTTAGTTGATTTCTGGCCTGATCTCTTCCTGGTGTTGTTTTGTTTTATTTTGTTTTTTGTTGTTGTTTCTTTGTTTGTTTTTTGCTTTCCCCCTTGCCCCTCTCCAGAATATCACGAGTGAACCTTTGAGACTGGACTATCGGACCCTGGCTGCTTTGCCCAGCAGTGGCTTACAGAGAGTCAATCGCGCTGTAAGTGAGGGGCCATTGAGGTGTGGGTCCCTATGTGGGGAAGCTGTGGTCAGTCCCTTCCATGTGGCCCTGATGTGAGAGATGATAGTAAGCTCTCCAGAGGAAAACTGGGAAGCAAAACTATGGTAGACTTAAACACTCTCTGAAATATAAGGTAGCCACAACAGAAAATCAGATTAGAATGAGAAAATGAGGAGAGCAGAGAGCCACACTGCTTTCCATTTTGGAAGGGGAAGCAGTCTCTGTAGGTGCTAGGACAAGGAAAAGAAGGCATCTCAGAACAAGGCAGGAAGAACAGCCCAACAGGAGAGCAGGGTAGGTGTGAATGGGACAGTGTGGGAGATTGGAAGGAAGCAACTACTGAAAGTTCCAGAGGAGGGAGGGGAAGACTGATCCTCACATAGAAGATGGTGATCTTATTTGCAGAGCTTGGTTGCAGATTCATTGCAGGGTGGTGTTTAGAAAGGAGTGGGGAAGCAGGGCACTTATGCCAAGAATTAAAGGAAAGTCACAGGTCCATCTAGGACTGCAAAAGGCAAAATGGTAGTGATTGCATATCATAATATAGCCTAGATACAGTCTGGGTACTCCTGCCCCTCTGACCTCTGCATTTCATTCCCTGATACGTAACAGCAGCTCAGCAAAGAGAGAATCCAAATTTCACACGTTGCAAAGTGATATCTGTCCTGTGTTGTTTGGAGTGTCACCTCGCTTCTCCATCTTTGTTTCCTTTGGTATTATTTTGTCTTCCCTGCATTTGCATCATATTTATTGCACTGGGATTCTGCCTGCTCCTTCACTCATCCTCGGTCTTCACCTCCGTTCCTGTTCTGCCGCTGCAGCAAGACCAGCCCTTTGCTAGCATCATCAGAGGTTAAATTACCCTTTGCTCCTCCACTGCTGCTAGACCCAACATTTCTGCATTCCCGTTCCATTGTTTCCGGAATATTTCTTTTACCTTTACTGTCTCCATCTCATTCCTTCCAGACAACCTCAGGCCCTCTTGCTTTTCTGTTTTCACTCTTATTAGAGCTCTGCTTTGCCTCCAATTTTGTCTCATTTTGTTCCTCTCCATACTCAGCAGCTTTTGGGTTTTATCTCCTGGGTATTTACACAGAATAGCTGGTGGCTGTTCACAAAGAAAAATATTATCAGGGAAAGGTTTAATGTATTTTTAGCATCTATTAATGTAACTTAGTAGCTGGAAACAAGGGGAAAGCCAGCCCCATGTAAGCAGCTGCCTGTTTGCTGAACAGCCTGTGTCCTCCAAAGCAGCATTTGGGAACTTCTGCCTTAGTGTGTCGGCCTGGGACTGCCTGGGACTGGAATGTAGGGCTGCACACACTGGAATGCTAGAGTATATGGGTGGCATCTATAAATGTCTCGTTGCAAGGGAAGGGCCAAATAGTGTCCATGTTCATTTTCCTCCAGCTGTCCTTTGCCCAACCCTGTCATTGCTCTGTCTGAAAAATATGTCTATTTAGACTGTGAACATGCAGAAAGAGATATGAGCTTGAAGGACGACAAGGTTTTTACTTTCCTCCAGAACTACACCTAGCCCATTTGGCCAGCAGAAAGGCTCAAACTGGGATCAATTTGGCCAGCAGAAAAGCATGTCATTCAATTATCAGGTTGTCTGTGTCCAGACAGTCTGCTTTGATTAAGATGACTACTGTTATTGCCCTGTTCCCACAGTACTTTTCTATTTCTTCCTGTCTCAAGTGTGACCTTCTCACCAACTACTTTCTTCTCTAAGCAGTGTCCATATATCTTTAGTTGCTGTGTAAATGATAGTTCAACCTCTGACTCTCCCAATGCCAAGGGAAGCCAGATCATCTACATAGATTCCTAGATGGGCCTGAAGCAGTCTTTTATCTAACAGTGCGTTTTAAGAAGACTGGACTCTAATGCTGTGCCTTGATGGGAAGTGTGGCCAGTGCCACCTGGAGTGTCCGTTCCTAACAATCTGGATTCACTGTAGGGAAAGGGTTCAGGTGTTCTTGGGGCAGTGGGAGAAGAAGGCCCCACATCCCTGCTGTTCTTCACATAGTTGAGCAGGAGGAGGTCCGACCCTCTGTCGTGACTCTGCTATAGATTGCAAGTAGAATTTCCGATGAGAGTTCCCTAAGAATCGTGCCTAAAGAAGGTGCAAAATGTTTACATTTAGCTTGGATTATTCTGTATTGCTGTGTATTGATTCTTTTGTGAGCAATGGTTATAAAGGCTTACTGTGATACATGCCTTTTGTGTCTGCATACATTTAAAACTCCAACTGAAAATTTTCAATAGGAAACTTCATTAGGATGCTCTTCTCACTGACACCCTGCTTCTGTGCCAGCTTCTCAGTAACTTGATGTCTGTGGAGTACCCATTTCACAAGAATTTCTGATAATCCCATCCTAGTAATAAAGGAACCATTGTAATCTCTCAATTTTCTGTGTAGCACAGGCTTGAAAAACCTTACCCATGAATAACTGCATCTAGCCACTGCAAAGCGTTTAAAGTCTTGTTTTGCTTTCTGGACTGTGAGTAATGGAAAAGACGTTACATCTCTCAGTAAAGTGTCACTGTGGCTAGTTAATTAACAGTCTATACTTTCTAGTCTGAATCTATTTCTCTGTAATTTCCAAACATTGATTATTTTTCTTTGTTTGTTTGTTAGATTTAAAATTTGCCCCAGAACAAGGGCTGAAACAAATCTAAGTGATGGATCAAAACTGCAAATGCATTTTGTGCTATGTTTGCCTTGGAGGATGCGAGGGAAAACATGGTTGTCGTCTCTCCTGAACTGGGGATTGGCAGAGACAAGGCTGAAAAAAAAGCACGCTACATTGCCAAAATTTTCACTTACCCAAAATAGAAATTGTTACTTGTCTGATAAAAATAGCCCGCTGTGAAGTGGAGGGAACAGGGCCTCCAGCACTAGAGTACACTGCTGCAGTGGTAGTGCTGGAGATTAAAGTGAGGGATGGATGAAGCTCAGTTTTTGCTCTGAACAGAATAGGGTTTTGAGGCTTTCCATGATCGATCAAACGTCATGCAAACCTGCTGGGATGCCCGTCTCCACAGTGCTGTAGAGGTATTGTTTCCTTTTTCCTTGTTGTGTGAGCAAAGTAGCCTGAGTTGATGTTAGGACTCTCATGGAATCATGGTTGGTTGATATTTGTGCTCTTCTGCTTGGCAAGGGAAAATAGCAGGGAGTGGAAGTAGGGTCAGAGTAGCTGGCCGCGGGATCAGCAGACCTACCCTGTGGAGGTGGATTGCTGGAGCCTTCATGATGCATTGTCTTCTGTTTTCCTGAGACAGATAATGTTCCTAAAAGTACTTTTGGCTGGTATAACTTCCTGTGCATTAGAGCTCTTGCTAGTGCAGTTAATGGCACTCAGGAAAAGGAAGGGATTTGGTTTTTGTTTTTCTTTCTTTCTCTTTTGGTAGGTTTTTTTTTTTTTTGACATTGTGAAGTGGCATAGCCACATTAGAAAATTTCTAAGGGTAGTACAGACTTCACTGTCTGAAGGAATGTGATATGATCCAGGGCTCTGCCAACTGCTGCTTTAGGTTAGGTTGGGGTTGACAGGTTGAGGGAGGGCCTCAGAAATTCCTGAGCCTCTCAGCTGCCATTGTAGTCACCAGCCCACCCAGCCCTTGAGAGCTATTTTTGTGAGTGCTGCCATTACATGGGAGTTGGAGAATGTGCTCTGAGCAGAAGGGCTCTTTCTGCTCCCTAGCAGGCAGTTGGATGGAAGGAGATTGGAACATTGTTCTCTGATCATTTCTGCTTCCCTGAAGAAGGCTTTGACTGGGGTAACAGACACTCTTCTGTAGTATTAAAAGAGGAAAGGTCAGTGCTTCATCTTGGATGGATACAGTTTAGCCTAGGCAGAACTGGAACTCTGTTTCATCCCTGCTTCAGTAAGAGCACTCAGAGGGATCTGTGCTCCGTGTTAGCTATTATTTAGCTCTCTGTTACTTGCTGTTGGTGTGTATGATGATGAAGTGGGGCCATAAAAGCACATTGGCTTATACAGGGATGGTGGAACTGCGTGGGGCTAGCAATAGGGTGATATGGTAGAATTGTGTGGAAGTGCATTGGAGCAAGGCGAGAGGCATTTTTTTGTGTGCAGAAGTAGTGGAGCTATGTTGGAAGTATGCTGGGGTGAGACACATGATGACTGGCCTTGTGATGGAGTTGCATTGAGGATCTGCTGCAAGGAGATGAGAGAGGATCTGTGTCTGTGCTGGTTTTGGCAATCACTTTTGCTAGAGGGTTGCAATGTTACTGATGAGCTGCTGGAAGTGCAGGCTGGAACGTGCGTGAGAGTTGGGAGTATGCAAGTGCATGTGAAGTACCTGGTGTATGTATTGCATGAAGACATCAAGGTCCACTCTTGGAAGTAGCATTCAGGATCACCAGCAGACTCGGTGATGGAGTAGAAGAGAGCGAAGGGACGGCAGGGTGGGTGGGCATCAGTGCTGGACTTCTTTTCCCTAGCCTTCATCATTGGTGGTAGCAGCAACTGCTCTATATTTTCTCACTCCTCTTCTTTACTCTGTTCTCTCTATGTCTTTCTGATCCTTTTGTTTTCCTCTCAGCTTGTTCAGTGTAATAGGGCCAGCTCCAGCATGGAGGGTGACTGCGCTATGCTGTCTCGGCCAGTGGCACAGGATAGCCGGGATTCAGACCCAGAAACAGCCGCAGGCCCGATCATCAGAAGTGTGCCTGGTCTTCCCCAGGACCCTGCATCACCTGACAAGTGCACAAGTGGGGCAGAAAAGCCCTTGCTAGCCGAGCAGGATCCCACGGGTTGCCCCCAGTCCCAGGACCAGATGCCAAAGACGCCAGAGCAAGAGTGTATGGTCGACTCTCAGCCGATCCTCTTCAGTGAAAACCCCTTTGTGGTGGCTAACCGAAAGGGGAAAGCAGCAGGCAAGGCTTGTCTGGGGGGCCCACCCCTGGGCTATGGCAGGGGGGGAGTGCTGAAGACCAACCTTTACTCCAAGGCAAGCAGTCTCACAGCATGCTGTGTGTAGCATGCAATCACGCAGTTAAAGCCACCTGCATTCTACTAAACCAATGCGCATGCACTGGACCCCAGATGCCTGGCAGCACGAGGCTTGTGCAGGCACTGGTCCTGCTTAACATTCAGCAATGACATGTTTCTGTAGTGTTGTGTGCAGAGGCTGTCAGTCAATGACTCCAGCCACTAATGTACCCCAGTTATTGCCAAGCGTGCATGCTGCTAAGCCCCTCTTGGAGGGGAGGCAGTGGTTTGTGTGATGGGGAGCAACTCTTTCCCCCCACAACTCCCCCAGTATCTCTCTGGGTAGGCAGGGGTCAGACTAGAAGCAGTGGTGGTCCCTGTCTGCTGTGGTTGTGAGAGCAGGGAGCTGGCAGGGCTTATAGGAGAATGGTGATGGTGTCACACTTATGGATCTGGGCTTGAACAAATAAAGCCATTTTTAGACTTCTGAAAACTAAGAGGCAGCGCAGCTGACAAAGTTCATCTACAGCCCAGGGACCTGCTGTTCTTCAAAGTGAAAGATTTCAGCATTTCTAGACTTTCAGATTTCAAGGGAGAATTTTACTTTTCATTCTGGAAAAATCTGTCTATATTTAACTTTCTTAGTGTTGCACAGCAAACCTTTAATAGAACAAAGACTAGACCCCAAAAATCTCATGTTGCAGATTAGCACCACATCACTCTCCACTTCTTCCATTTTTCTCAGCCTTTTGGGAGCTCTAAAAAGCAAGAGAACCAAAACAACTGCAAACCAACAAACATCCCCTCCCACTCACCCAGAAATAATCCCACTTAGCTGTAGTTCTCTTAGTTTGTAGCCTAGTTCCTTGGTGAGGATTTGTTTTTCATAGATGTGTGGGCATCTAAGGATTGAGAGAGGCATGTAGTGGAATATCTGTAACCTCTCAATAGCTTAAATGCAAAGGCTGTCATTTGGACATTGCAGAAATCCGGTTTTAACGTTCCTGGTAACGGACCAAAAAAGCAGTAGTTAGAAAAAGCACTGATCCTTTTTGAAGGCAGACTTTATGCCAGATCAGGTATCATCAGTCTGGAGGTAGGTGTCACAGTTATCTTAAGCCAATCTAGTTCCACATTGCTGCCAAAAGGGACTGATTCCCCTGTCTAGATGTTCTTCTCCTTTCTGTGTGCTGACACCAGAACTGGAGCAGTCGTATCAGCTGGGTTAGGGAACTGATATCCCTGAAAAAAAACAGTATTTTCTTGGTAGGATTAGTTCTCTGCAGAACAGCTCCCTCGTTGGTGTATTGCAAAGCTGCATGTGCTGGCACAAGGGAAGGGCTGATACCTGTAGCCAGAAGCAGGGTGAGCAAGAACACCCTTTGCAGTGGTGGTGTGGAAGTAGATCAGCTGAGACTGCCACGTTCTCTGTTACTCCAGCACTAAGAAGGGTCAGATATTTTCTGTTCTCCAATATAAACCTCAGGTCACATCTCCTGGCTTGGCCAGTAGAAATGCAATTGTCCAAGGCTGATCTCAATCAAATTAACGTGGTTAGATGATTCACTAGTGCATGGATATGGTATTAATGATCATGGAACCTTAGATTTGCTTAAACAGTTCTGTAAATCTGTAGAAATGACCTTTTTCCATCTTTAGGCTTCCAATTTACTTTTTAAATCATGCTCCTTAATCCCGTGGTTAGACTGTAGGTAATTAGCTGGACTCTGCTCTCTTGTAGCTGTTGAGGCTGGCTGTAGGCTGCCTCTGAGCGTGAGCACTGGCGATCAAGGTTCCTATGGAAGGGATGAGATCCCTGTCTTTCCTATGTTCTAAGCTACTCCAAAGACAATGGATGTGGTTGGGGATTAATCTTGTCCCCTTTCAGTTAGGAATGACTTTTAGTGCTCAGTGTCCATACAACAGGAGGTTTGTCTACACTATGGCTCATTCTGTCAATGGCTAAAGAGAAGTTAAAGGGAAAGGATTCCTGGGGATGTCTTATGAGGCAGAAGGCTTTAACATGATTCGGTTGGCCTTGCAAGGCATTTGGATATGATCTTAATTCTAATTAATGTAATTCTCTGGCTGTTTCTAGTGATTTTTGCAAGTTTCTACCATATGACAGTTGCTGTTGGGCCCAGTGCTAATTCTGCTCCCTTGCTGTGAGGTGGCCTACAGTTGGCTTCAGTTTGGATGTCAGTGCTCTCTTTTGCCTCCTGGTCTCTCTGCTAAGGGAGGTGCATGGGAGTTGCTGCTGTACAGTAACTTTCTGGCTTTGTCTTTTGTCTTTCAGGCTCCTGCGGGCGAGTCTGGGACAGGAAATTCCAGGCGGGAAACCCCCTATTCTCCTGGTAATCAGCAGGTGAGAATGCACCCAGGACAGGCAATCTGGCAAAAGGTAGGGAGGCATGTTTCTGGGGCAAGATGGCACCAGTGCAGAAGGGCAGAAGAAGCTGAGAATGATTTGTGTATTTGAATACCTCTGAGGCAGAGAGGTATACCTCAAGGGAGGCCACTCCAAAACTAGAAGAGCAGCTCTGCTCTTTCAAAA